TGGGAAAAGAGCTTTCAGTCATTAAAATAATGCTGACTCACGGAAAGCGTAGAAGGCTTCACACACCCCTGCCCCAGTACCAGAATATTCCAAAGGAAACATACATAAATCTGTTACGATATGTGGCGGGCCCTGGCTGCAGACCCCCCCAGCCTGCAGGCCTGGGGAAACCTTTCTGTTGACTGAGAGCTCCTGACACCCACCCCTCGCAGAAAGCCATCGGTTCCGTCCATCTGTGTCGCCGGTTGGCCACAGAGATTAAGTTCCGGTTCCCCACCTTACAATGGCAGCAGACTGGCCAGCCAGGGAGTTAAACAGTGGAAGCTTTGGCTGGGACCTATAATCAGCAGACGCTTTGAGGTATTTCAGGTCCAACGGTGGCACCGACATGCACAGCCTGCCAGGCATCACTGCCTGCAAACACCACACATCTACCCGCTCTATTCAGGTCTAATTGGGAATAAAGCGCATGGAAAATCAGGTACCACACCCCAAAGAACCTGAATAAACTCGGGGTCATACCAAAAGAACCCAGCGTAAGCCAGTCTAAACCCAAACGGGTAGGTTAGGGTTAGGGCTACATGAGTCATTAATTGTCAGTTAGAACAACAATGTCCACAAGAAATTGACATATAAGGGAGTCTCAGACTCGCTAATGTGTGAAATTTGGAGCATCTCCATAAGATGAAGAAGAGAACATCACACTCAGGAGCAGCAATGCCATGGGTGGAACGTAGAGAAGATCCTTGAAAATCCATCTCTAACACAAAAGTCATGCCCAAACAGAAGGAAAAATAAACGACAGAAGCAGTAACAAACACATGTGATGGAAGCATTTCCTGACAGCTTTCAAAACAGTCTAAGTAATAACCACTCTGCTGCTTTGAACAGTTCTCTCTTATTTGGATGCCAAACACACTGTATTTTACACACAGAGTGGTAGGCTGTCTGTCATAATGCACATTGTCACCGCACCCGCTTCAGGGGGACCCCATACTACCGGGATGGGAAACTAAGCTCATCTCACCACTGCTAAGGTGATGAATGCTGCTGAAGGCGGTTTGAGAATCAGCTAAACACTGTCACCAACACCCAGACAGCAACCACAGCTGCAGCCAGAAAAAGGAGCGAGAACTCCACCGCCGCAGCCACAGCCGCAGCCACAGCCGCATCCACCTCCGCAGCCACAGCCGCATCCACCACCGCAGCCACATCCACCTCCGCAGCCACAGCC